TTGTAGGCCTTTCTTTTTAGCCTCAGGAGGTCTGCTGGATCCCTGAAGAGCCAGGGGGGCTGCTGTGCCCTCTTGCTGCCTGTCACAGAGCACTCGGGTGCCCTGCACCTAAAAGCAGAAATGGCTCAGGAGAGACCCCTAATGGTGAGAAGGGGGAGGCTCAACTGCCAGTCGCCAGGGCAGCACAGGTGCTGGTTGCTAGGAGAACCAAGGGAATCAGCTGACAGGAAGGGGCAGGGCTTGGCCCCTTCTTAAGCCCAAGCATAAGGCCAGGAGAGCAGTTCCCCTCCAGCAGCCAAGGAGTGGGGAGCTCGGCCAGTGCAGAGAGAAAGGAGAAGATAGACTGCAGGAGCATCCCCTGGTTGCGGCTATGGGTTGGAGTATTTTCCCGGTAGGGATAGAACATGGTTTTGACCGGATGGTTTACTTTATGTTATAGCCCAGGGGCTTTGTGTTTTGTGTTTACTATTTTTACTGGAGGACTGGGTGAGGCTATTAGGGGTGGAGGAGGCCTCATAGGGATGCCATGGTAGTGTGGGGTTTCCTGGTGCCAAAGAGGGTGCAGCATTGTTTGGGGCGCATTGGCCCCAGCCCCAGAGCCAGGGGGCAGCGAGGAGCCCCAGAGCAAGAGGGGGCAGCGAGGAGCCCCAGAGCAAGAGGGGGCAGCGAGGAGCCCCAGAAGTAAAGAAGAGGGCCAAGGTATAGGGCAAACCATGTCAAGTACCATCTGCGAGGCTTGGGCTGAGGTGTAGGTGAGGAAAAGGAGCCGCAGATAGTGCCCCCTGACACCGGGCATATAAAGTGGGCAGCCTCCCGCTAATTACATCACTCAATCAATTAAGATCAAGGCATGGCAGGTGAGTAAGCAGGCGGTTAGCCCAAGACAGGAAGGCAGAGCCACCAACAGAAAGGCTCCAGCGAGATACCCTGTCACACTGCCTTTCCTCCAAGATGGAATAGAATTTGCTTGAAAAAGAGTCAGTGCTGAGGGTGACTGAGTGCAATGGTTACTATGACTTTATGCAGATGGGCAAAATTAACCCAGGCTTATGGGCAGGTTCCACCAGCATGTTTGCCCATTATGGGTCTTGGCTTTGTCCTAAGTGTTCTATAGGCATGCTCCGTGAAGGCTGCATTCAATCAACTTCATAGTTGGTTTCTATGGCTGAACCCAAGCTGCAGCAGTTGAATGGTAGATAATGTATTTAACAAGTTTTCCTGGTCCAAGGGAACAGAACATGCTTCAAATGTCAAAGTACAGGAAACCATCGCTATTCGTGGATTTAGCATTTGCTGTTTCAAATATTCCTGAATGCCAAACCTGCATCTGAAATACACTTAAATGAGCTCCTTGGGAGCTCTGCACTTGCCACTGCAGGGCTCCTGCTGCTGCCACTGCGCTCCCACCATCTCCAGCATAGCTGTGCCCTCTCCTCAGCTGCCAGGGGCACTGAGTTCATGAATGGAGATGGTGTTCATGAACGCAGTGCCTTATTCACAGATTTTACCATTCCCCGGGGATATGAGAACATAGCCCCCGCAAATAGCGAGGGTCTCCTGTAGCTGTATTCTGAATTATCCATATTGTAAAGCACACAAAAATGTATCTGTTTGGCTGGGGAGTGACAATAGCTTTGAAATATCTGATACTTGAACTATCTAATGTTGAACTAATGAGGTTTTACTGTACTAGCTTTGCAGGGACCAGATCCATTGCTTCTTTAAGTCAATGGCAGCATTGCCACTGATCTGCAACACTGCTCCTCATGCTCTTGTCTGTGGGGTAGGTGACTGGAGGTCAGGGCTGCAATTCTTGGCATGAATATGATGTAATACCATCCAAATTTGAAGAGACCGAAGCACATACTTTTAATGGTAGATTGTACAATTTATCTATATGATCCAAAAGCAGTAGAAACTACCAAAAGAACATAATGAACATTTCCAAAGTAGGGAATTTTTTTGTGCCATGAAAAATTGCCTGCTTTTTGAATATACCATAAGAGTGTTTCTATAATAAGTAATAAGTCTGATCCTGCATCCTTTTCTCTTGGGGGTGACTTTGGTAAACACTAGTAGTCTACTGAAGTAGATTGTTATATTTCATATTCTAAACTCCTTAAATGACGAGCAGTTATTCACACAAGTGTCCCCAGTGACTTCAATGGACCTCAGTGCTCGCCAATGCAAGCAAAGCATTCATAGGCTGGTTGTATATACACAATGGAGACAGTTACTAGTATCACTTGGCACATATCATTAAATCTGCTACTGTTGAATTATTTTCATCCAGTGGGAATGGATGTGAACATATGCTGTATGCTATATTGGAAAAAAACAGTTCATTCCTTTTTGTCCATCTTTTTTGCTGGATGACTATACAACTTGACACACCAGTCAGGCTTCAGCTCTTTTATCTGTACATATGTCCTTTATTCTATCTGTTTGTCCTTTATTCTACCTGTTTCTCTTCATCTGAGTTTCCATTGTTTGCAAATAACATTTACCCAGTGTTCCAAACAAAACAGCATGGTAAGTTAGAATTATGAAATGTACAAAGGAGAAATGTTTCTGCCTCTATATTTTGTGTCACAGAACAGTAGTCTTACCCCACAAACTAATCTAATACTTTGTTTTTAGAGCTGTCAGCTAATCAACATATGAATGCCATCAGAACTACACACAGACTGAAGGAAAAGAAAGAGAAAGCAAAAGAGACAAGAATAAAGTTAAAAACATCCCCAGACTTTTGATATGTGGATGGGTTTTTGGATGATTTGTTTTATAAAAACATAGACACTTGATAGGCAAATTTTTTTTATAATGATGAAGTGATTTTACTTTTATCCAAAGGGAAAAGAGATAAATCAAACATAGCATATATCACTATTATGTTTGCTGGTGACTTTTCTGGCTTTTTTAAATTTCAAAATTGTTTGAAAATTCTGAAGTTGACGAATTGAGTCTGTGAGATCTAGTCATTACCATTTTTATGCAATACATCAGGTCAAGGACATGCATTGTCTAAAAAAAGGCTACCTGTTTAATATACTAACATAGTGTCATGGTGTGTGAATAAATCATGAAGAATCAATTATGGGAATGACAGAAATGTAAAATCTGCCAGGTATGTTTTATAATGGTTATCAACTCAAAAGAAGAGGTTAATACGTTTTCTTTAACTGACTGCTAAATAAATAAAAAATATAAATAAATAACCTAAAACTTAAAGCCACAACCAATGCATTGGTCATCTTTTTTTTTTTTTGCTAAACGCTTCCTTAATTCTTTCACTTTTCCAGCCTCTAAGCTTCCACAATGTGTTTCTACATGGACGATACCATGGATACTTTACTACCCTGATGGATTCCATTCCCTGTTTCCACAGATCTCACCAAAAAAGTGTTAGCAGAAGAGTTCTCTAAGGGTATTGAAAAATATATGAATGAGATAATAGGCTTCCCAATTCTCTCTTCAAATTATGCTCAAATCTTAATTTCCTATGGATTCGTGCCAGACAAACCTGTAAACTGTCAAGATATTTTAAATTAGTGAACAAAGGGAATAAATTCAGGAAAGATGGAAGGTGTGTGAGGGGGAAGAAACCTCTGACCTGACATTACCAAGTAAATAAATAAATAAAAAGACACTAAGATGAAAACAAAATAGTGTCATGGATTTACATATGGGGTTTTGATGGAAACTAGGGCTGGGTTTTAAATCAAAACTCACCATCTCAAAACCACTTCTTTTCATCCGCCTGCAGGACTTGAGGTAAGTACGTATGCGTTTTCTGGCACGCTCTTGATACTCAGGGAATTGTCGCCTGCATGAGTCAATGATAGCCTGGATCTTTTCTTTGGGCTGCTTAGAGATTGGGACCATTCGGTCCAAGTTTTCATCTACAAACAGCCTGACAAACATCTGTTGGCAAGAGGGAGACAGAGGAGAAGGGTTTGGAGGGCTGCTCTCTTCTCTTCCTAGTTTCCTGTCTTGAATACTGATAGGAAGACACTTTTTTTCTATGTACTGAAGAGCTTGGTAATGGGAAGCCAGAAATGTTAAGCAGACAACTCTTTAAAGGACTTTTTAGTGTTGATAAAAAGGCAAGAAAAGAATAAACTATAGTGTGTAGAAATTGTGAGATGAATCACAATAGATTAAGCGGTGCCTATTTCAAAACTTCGCCATTAACAATAAGCTATGATTGCTATATTGTTTGTTGAACTTCATCTGACTATTTCCCCACCTTGAACAATTGCTTGTGTTATCATGCATAATTACATATCTTGGGAATGCAACAGAAAATAGCTGACCACTAGACTGCTCTTAAGATAAACTAGCTGCAACCCCTTTCCATCCATTGGGCCAACATGCACGCACACATACATACACAAAACACAGTTAGGTTTTCCTCACTGATAAAGATGGCATTTTGCCTTAAAGTTCTAAATAGAACACAGTAAAACTGGTATTTGTTGGCAAGACAAATAATAAGTTTAATGTGCTTTAAAAAAATCCTTCTGTAAATCAACGTGCCTCTAATATTGCCAAATCCATGAACAACAAGACAAAAGGAAAATAGTAAAGTTAACCAAGGCAGTAAGTGCTATGGGACTTACATTAAAAGCTTTCAGTCGCTCAGCTTCTACCCCATCAGATTCATTAACTTTCTCAGCATCTTCCTGTTCATCATGGTCATCCTCATCCTCATCTCCTCGGTTGAGAGACAGATCTTCAGCACCTCTGTCTACACTTTCATTCTTGCCAGAGTCGTAACTGGAGTAACTATGTGCTGGGGACTGAGAATAAAAAAGAGAAATTGATTTTTTTTAAAAGAAGATAACTGCACCAGGTGATCAAATTTGCTCCTTTTTGTCAAATACAGTCCTTCTTAAACTAGCATGCTGGTGAATGATGTATAGAACAAACTCCATGATTTATTGCATAAAATGATTTATCCAGCCCTGGCATAAAAGTTCACCATAAAGGGGGACTTTTCCATGATCTTACCATTTCAAAACCTGAAAGCAGCCATATGAGATGAAGTCAAGTAAATCAGTGTATATATGCCTCTCCTGTGATATTTAAATTCCAGATGAAATGTTTGCTGAAGTCTTGGTTTGAACTGTTAACTTAAGGCTGTTCCAGATTAGCTCTGTTACATCAGCTAAAGTGTAAATAAATTCCTGAAGACTTACATATGAACTAAATGAAAATGACATACTTTAAGGTAGGGCAGAAGTCAGGGAGAGGGAGTGATATTCATCCATCAACATAAATCTTTATTGCCTAGAGCTTCAGTAAGTTGTTCATAAATATAATGATAATAATGCTATTGTTTTCATTTCTATTAATTCAAACAGATTTGAATTCTAAGAGGCATTAATAATAGTAACAAACATACACATCTCTGTTTCATCCTTAAAGTTGTTCTTTTCACATAACAGTATTCAGAATTTCAGAAGTAAGAATTCACATATCCGTATTCAGAATTTTTCCCAGAGCAAAAACCTTTTTATTTTGGATAAATCACAGATGAGCGTTCATTAAACAATTATTCACTCAGAGTGTCAAAAAACTTGGCAGCTACTAAGTCAGTCAAATATAGTAGGTTTTCCATAATGGTATCAGATTTTAGTTGGATGGTTACTCTGTGCATATACTCTGTACTGAAAACCATAGTGTGCAAAAACAGTAACAGAAAAGGCCACCTAAAGGCAAAAGTACACAACCATATTCTGTTCTTTGCTACATAAATGAAAATCTGAAACTACTCTAATGAAGTTATTACTGTTATTTAGATCTCAATTTGATCTGCAACATCTCCATTTTCCCCTCTTTTGTTTTTTTTTTGGTATTTACATAATTTTATAGGCCTACTCCAAAGCATGCTGAAGTCCGTTAATTTCAGACAGCTTTGAATCAAATCCTATAGGCTGACTCTCAGCAGATCAGCATACACATTTCTAAGTTTTTTTATACAATGGAATATCTAAACATTTCACAAACATGAGGACAAAGCCCAAAACAAAAAGGGTCATATTTTCAAACAAGTGCCTACAATTATGATGCCTGATCCAGATTTAGGGAGCTGCAGAGATTACCTTATTGGCCCTCTCCCCACTTACATAATGGAATATATGGCACCTACCTTGTATCTTGCAGACAGGGGCAATTTATTGTGATATCAACATACAGCTGAACCATAGTATGGACATAGGAAAATCTAGACATGAAAACTAATATAAAAATGCAGTTTTAACAGCTCCTTTCTTGGCTTTTCTTTCTTCCTCCATTGTCTTTATTCCTCTCTTCCTCTCCCTTTATTCTCATTTTCTTCTGTTTACCTTGTTTCTTTTATTTCCTATATTATTTTTGCAACTGTCTCTTTCACTTCCTTGAGTATCTTTTAGATGTTCACACTCTGTTTCCAATTCCTACTCCCTTTTTGCCTTGTATGCTCTAGATTTGGGGTAAACTATAGGGTTTCAGAGTCCTACAGAACAAATCCTCTAATCCTCCCACCCAGTCTCTGTCTTCTTTTTAGAACCTTTGTGTCCTGCTCACTCTGGCCTTTCTGCCCTTAGTGATGGTTTTTACAGTCCCTCTCCTTCTCCTGGACTCTCAGCTCCCCTGAACTTTACTCAGTCTCCCTGTGGTGGCTGTAGGCAACACAGAGGAAGGCTAGGAGGAACAACAGATGAGGCAACAGAAAACCAACCTCCTGTCCATGACACTCAGCAGAGAAGGAAGCTCAGCAGTACTCCTTCTCCTACAGTTAACCTACAGGGGGCAAAGCAGGTTTGCTAGTGTTCCCTGTGGGTCAGAGGGCCCAAGACTGATTATGACGGCAAGACAAGGACCTGCAGGAGCCAGTGACCAGTGACGACCTGTTCCAGTGCAGGACTCCTGTTCATAGACTAACTCCTGTTCAGAGAAAATGCTGAACTAAACACAGAATCAGGCCCTGAGAGAAATATAACCTTGCCTTGGCAAAGATGACAGATAAAACTGTGTCAAAAGCCACATAAGACTTTAACATGTGCAAGCAACACTATTTAACTTAGGTGTCTGTGAGCTGTCAGGTAAATACTGTACTGAATATGAATGCAATTACCCTAAAAGCAGTCACATGTAAATAGTAATTCATGGAGTTATCAGATCTCCACAGTGTGAAGAAAATCCTTCCACAACTGCAGAGACCACCATGCAAATGTGACAATCTTGCTGCAGAGATCACTATAGCAAGTGCTAGTACTGTTTGCTTTGTAGGGCCAAGCTTCTAGAGCCTATAAACAGAGATCAAAGAGCACCATGGAGAGCTCCCTGTAGGTTTCCTGTGCTATTCATGCAAGGGGATTTGGGGTGTAGGGACAAAACAGGCTGAACTCTCACTCTGAAGATTCCCTAGCATGTCAATGGTTCACAACCTTGTTACCTGGAAAATTCCAGCTCTTAGCTTTCACTCGTTTTTTTGACTACAGAAAAATAGTAGACCAATTCTTCTGTTGCAAAGAACTCACTCAGAAAGACCACAACAGGTCAGAATCTTTTTGACACTCTGGATTCCTATTTGATATCACTGGGTTTATCCTGTGATTTGTGTATTTCTGCATATCTAGCAGTGCTAATAGTGCATGGTGCCCCATCATGCCCTTAAAACAATCTCATAGCACTCTGGTTGAAAAGCATTGTTTTAGCGCATAGATAAGAAACGTGAGGAGTCTCAAGGACTACTGCAGCTTCTAGGTAGCCTTGGGGGATAATTCCTTTCTCCTGATCCTGAAGAGAATCCCAGCATAGAGCTGTTATTTAGGATAAAAACTGGGCATAGAAACTGGTTACTGTCACAATTTTTTCATATTTTAATAACTTCTGAAGCAATATGCAGTTGGAGATATGATATAGGTTGGAAGGTGGGCATTATTGTGTTCCTCTATTTATTTATTATTATACTAATACATAGCTATAGTACTGTGGGTAATGCCCACAGGGCTTCAACATGATTAAGAATCCATTCATTGCACTAAGCAATGCTTAAACACATAGGAAGAGATGGTTGCTACATGAAGAGTTTACAGTCTAAAGCCCTCATTCTGCAAATGCATATACTTAACTTCATGCATTGGAGTCATTCTGGGTGTGTCTATACATTAATTCATGTGCTGTAATTATGGCTCATTAAGTTTAGTACCTGTAATTACAAATATTACCTTAACGCACCATAATCGGTCCTACTGTGCATTAGTGTCGGCGCATGCTCTTTTGGTGATGCTAATGCACAGTAGACTAATTCTAATGCACATTAGCACATTAACATGGGTTTTGCCCACTGCACTAATATGCAGTAGAATTAGTTTACTGTCCTCAAAGCATTTAGTGTAGACATACCCTCTCTTAAACTAAATTCAGTAAGACTATCAAGTGCAACAATTTAATCATATCAATATTGATTTTTAAAAATACAGCACGTGTATGTTTGTACTGAGCAAGGAGATTATAAATCATAAACCTGAACTGAGAATTTCCTTTTCTTGAAATTAAAATTTAGGCCAAATGGGAGTAAATATCTCCCTCCAAAAATAGCAATATTATTTTGTTTTTGAAAGCACTTTATAGAGCCCATCAACTATTTGCACCAAAAAACAGTCTGAAAAAGATGTTAGCTTCTGAATTTAAGCTGCAGATTTTATCATACTCTGAGAAAGTGTAAGGGTAGAATTGCAGGGTTCAATATGGCTTCCAAGTTCTCAGGGTTGTAGGTGATTTTTGAGCTGTTAGGCCTGTGAACACAAGTAAAGTAAGCAAAGTCATTCCACAAATTAAACTGAGAGCAGGGTTTACCAGCTTGTTGTTTTTTTCTTTTCTTTTCTTTTTTTTGTGGCAATCATGCTATTTCATTTGTGTTGCCTCTTCATGAAGGGTTAGCAGAAGTATAAACTAAAAATAGTAATCATTTACTTTTGACAGTTAGGTAAAAATGTAAAATTCTAAATAAACACAGGGAACAGGTTGGTAGAGTAAGAAGTCATCATTTTTATAGCCACTTTTTTTCTTAGTTTCTCCCCTAAATTCTGAATATAAGGCATAAGTTATGGGATTGTGGTAGTTTGACATGTATGGGCTGAAAGAAAGAGAGAGAGAGAACAAACAGCATAACATACAATCAACGCATGTTGCACCCAAGCAGAACAAATGATGACAAGGGCCAGTGACCACTCAAGTCAAGAGTATTGTCGACCAAATGCATACAACATCAGATGAGCCCCTAAGAAATACTGAACTTGTGTTAAAAATTGAGCAATTATATATATAGAAAAATAAATAAAATCTGATTGCTTTTTGCTTGCCTTTTTATTTTTGAGCCTTTAGGGTTCACTCGTTCAAACCATTCTCTGCAATCACAAGAGCTAGAAACTTGTATTTTTGAAAATGGAATCAACGCTTCTTATATGACAAGGTGGCTCCAGGAAGAGGGCTTTATGAAAAGCACCAAATGTTCCAAAATGTAATATAAAAATCATGAGTTGGCAACAAGTCTATCAAAGGTAAGAAAGTATCAGAATTACCCAGATGCAAATTGCATATTGTTGAAGCAGCCCTTTTAAAAATGTACTTAATATATAGCTACACATAATGGACTGCAATACAGAAACACTGCTGCTGTCAATAGAAACCATACTGTAATTTTTGTTTGGAAAATTGAGTCAATAATTTATTATCTTCCATAGTGTTCCTATGTCTGCCAGGCTCAAGGCCTTGGGGATGACCAAGTGGAGTGAATTTTGTAGGCAGTAAG